AAACTAAACTTTGATAGCTTCTGCATGGGGAATCTTGATCAATCATTTTTTAACAGTAAATGATGATTTTTATTAATTATAAGAAATGTATAGAGTTAAGGTACAAGGTTTACACTCTTGTACGCAAGGCAGAAAAAGTTGAATACATCTAGCATAATGCCAACCCTTTCCACACATGATTCTATGTTAGACTAGTGGATAAATGCAAATATTCATGTCCTTTTCAGAAATCCACCGTCACTGTGAATAATCTCATGCAGTAGTGTCAACAGGTATTTTTGACGCATAAGAGAGGGAAGGTACCTGTTCCTCCTGTTCCTCGCAGGCAATTATGAATTCATCAATTCTTTGCTTCAACATATTCAATCCCGGTCTCCTTTCATGATATTCCATTATCCACTCTGTAATCAAAGAAATTTCTAAGCAAAGCATGCAACCCATAAAGCAAGCAGATTAATTTCACAAATCGGAGATTCTCGCTAATGCTTACTCAATAAAAATTAGTTATAAATCTATAGAAACAACATCTCAAGGGCTTCCCTTAATCAGCCCATAAGTAGAAAGGAACAAAGGGATCAGGGTCAAACTTGCAATGACAGTTCCAACTTAACCGAGGAATGGACACTTAGAAAATCCAAAGCCACTGATTCTCTATTTCTGTCTACAGTCTTATGCTTAGCTCTAGTGACAAATTTGGAGCAAAATATGACACCCACAAAGCAGAAAGATCCATTTAACAAGTTCGAGACTTGTTTACTCAAGAAAAGTTACTGGTAAATGCCGCATCAACATCTCAACAGCTAGAAATAATCACTTGGGTGGAAGAAGACCCAGAGAGAGCAAGCACAAACAGATAGAGGTAAGGTACCAAGTACGAAGTTACCATTGCTTACTTTTCAATCCTTTCGAGCAGTCTTCATATCCTGAAGTAACATGATAAACCTCCTCCGGTTCAGCTTCCTCTCTGTTGCCCACTGATAACTTGCTACGCTTCAGGCAATGTTTCTCCATTATTGCAGTTTTCTTGGGCTCATCTATCAACAAAACCAAAGAAGCAAACCATATGAGTTTGTCAACTGCGAGATTTCTTCTGTTTTTTTACTTTTGACGACAATATAACGAGAACGGAGAGAGAAAACAGAGAAGGGAGAGAAAGGGCTTCTTTGAACTTTGAAGGTTTTGGCTCAGCCGCTGAAGCGAGGCGATCGGAAGTTGGAGAAGCGAGGCGTAATTGGGGCAATTGCCGGTGGTGGACACGAACCGAGCTTTTCACGAGCTATTCGAGCTCACTCGTGCAAAGGTCAGTTCGGCCGGACCCAGATCGAGTTTTGAGTCGAATACATGGCTCGTCTGTCAATCGAGCCGAAGTCGAACAATTTAAAGTTCGGTTCCTTAGGCTCGCGAGTTTAACGAGCCTCTATATATGTATATATTTATATTATACATATTATATATAAGTATATATACCTTTTTAGAAAATTTTATTGGTAGGGACATAGTTATACCATAGTCCCTACACAGTATATTTACTTCTTCGAGACTAGAGAGGGAGAAAACATCCCTTTTGACTCTTCATCTTCTTCGATCAAAAAATCTAAGCGGCTAAATCCTTTCTTTTTCGTCCCTTCTTCATCTCATAGTTTTGTTCTTTGCAGCTCTGCTCTCACAACTCTCACCGGTAGGCGGTCGATGGTCTCAGGCTCTCAGCTCTCACCTAGTTATCGAAAGTGGGAGGAGCCTTCGGTCTTAGGCTCTCAGCTCTCAGAGTTTCGACGCCTCTAGTTCTGGATCTCTCTCACTCTCTGCTTCTTGAAGCAATTATCATCGCCGACAAGAGCACCAGTAGGTCAAAAGGATATGGCTTTGTGACTTGTGAGTTCTCTTCTTCTTCTTCTTCTTCTTCTTCTTCTTCTTCTTCTTCTTCTTCTTCTTCTTTTGATTTGGGGTTTTTCTCTACAGACTACAGTTGGGAGTTGGGACTTCGAAGTTTGAACCGGGAAGGATTGATTGCATCGACAAGAACCCTACGGGCTATGACATTGCCCCCATTAAGGGTGAATAAACCAAAGCTTCACATTCAAAGGTAATATTTGGGAGCTCAGTTCATTATCGAGCTCGAGCCGAGTCGAGTTCGAACTTGTGAATTTTGTAATTGAACCGAGCTCAAGCCCGAGCTTGAGCCTTGCATTTTCCTACCGAGCTGAGCTCGAATACTCAGATGTACAGCTCGGCCCGGCTCGAATCCAGCCCTAGAAATTGATGAAAGCTCCCTAACAATTGCTAAAACTCTGAAGTTTGGTAATTGCAATCACTTCCCTTTTAACTTTTGGATACAATTGCAATCAATTTCAAAAAAGTGATTGGAAGAATTTAGGGTAGTGATTCATATGACTGGCATTGTATTATGCTAATTGTGCATACATGGGTCGCGTCAATACAAACGGATACGTGCACAATTCTAATATTAAAAAATGCAGCATATACAATTTGAACCCAGGTTTAAGCATTAAGCACTTAAGTGTCTTAAGTTGCTAAACCACTAATCCATCATTTAATTTATAATTATAAGTGAAATATAATTAATTTTCTTATCTTAATTATAAACATGTAATCTAAAGAAACGACATATAAAATATTAATATATTCAACAATTTCAATTTAAAATTAAATAGAATAATATTAAAATTAATATTACAATTATAAGGGAAATTGTCTAAAACTCACCATGAGTTTTCAGCAATTCTCTTAAACTCACCACAACTTTTCAAAATGTCTAAAATACACCATGTCACTAACTTGACGTGAAACAGATAATGCAATGTTAATATAGTCGGAAATAGTGTTAATATAGTCGGAAATAGATAATGCAATGTTAAACATGTTGTATTCATAATTTGCATGCTGCCCTTGTACCAAGCTCCTTGAAGCAAACCTAGCATGTTTGGTATTGCCTCAAGGGACTTGGTACAAAGTAACAAAGGCAGCTTGCAGAATTAGCAATACTACATGTTTAACATCGCATTAGCCATTTGAAGTAATGTGATTGGGAAAGAAATAAAGAGGTTGAAAATTTCAT